GATTCAACAAGGTGCTGGAAGCATTCCTCAGGGAGTTTGGTCCATATTGACATGATGGCATCACACAGTTGCCGCAGATTTGTCGGCTGCACATCCATGATGCGAATCTCCCGTTCCACCACATCCCAAAGATGCTCTATTGGGTTGAGATCTGGTGACTGTGGAGGCCATTTTAGTACAGTGAACTCATTGTCATGTTCAAGAAACCAATTTGAAATGATTAGAGCTTTGTGACATGGTGGAAGTAGCCATCAGAGGATGGGTACATGGTGGCCATAAAGGGATGGACATGGTCAGAAACAATGCTCAGGTAGGCCGTGGCATTTAAACGATGCCCAATTGGCACTAAGGGGCCTAAAGTGTGCCAGGAAAACATCCCCCACACCATTACACCACCACCACCAGCCTGCACAGTGGTAACAAGGCATGATGGTTCCATGTTCTCATTCTGTTTACGCCAAATTCTGACTCTAACATCTGAATGTCTCAACAGAAATCGAGACTCATCAGACCAGGCAACATTTTTCCAGTCTTCAACTGTTCAATTTTGGTGAGCTCTTGCAAATTGTTGCCTCTTTTTCCTATTTGTAGTGGAGATGAGTGGTACCCGGTAGAGTCTTCTGCTGTTGTAGCCCATCCGCCTCAAGGTTGTGCGTGTTGTGGCTTCACAAATGCTTTGCTGCATCCCTCGGTTGTAACGAGTGGTTATTTCAGTCACTGTTGCCCTTCTATCAGCTCGAACCAGTCTGGCCATTCTCCTCTGACCTCTGGCATCAACAAGGCATTTCCGCCCACAGAACTGCCGCTCACTGGATGTTTTTTCTTTTTCGGACCATTCTCTGTAAACCCTAGAGATGGTTGTGCGTGAAAATCCCAGTAGATTAGCAGTTTCTGAAATACTCAGACCAGCCCTTCTGGCACCAACAATCATGCCACGTTCAAAGTCACTCAAATCAACTTTCTTCCCCATACTGATGCTCGGTTTGAACTGCAGGAGATTGTCTTGACCATGTCTACATGCCTAAATGCACTGAGTTGCCGCCATGTGATTGGCTGCTTAGAAATTAAGTGTTAACGAGCAGTTGGACAGGTGTACCTAATAAAGTGGCCGGTGAGTGTATGTCAAAAGCTCAAAAGCTTATATGTCATTGGATTTCTCAGTTCAAAATTAATCTGACTTTTTTAATCGTTTCACTAGAATGAATCTGACTATTTGAATTAGTTCACTAAAATAAATATACTTTTTAAATCAGGTTTAATTGAATAAATGTAACTTTTTTAATACAATATTTCTGACTTTTTTGTATTTTTTTTACTAGAATGAATGTTTCCAACACAACAGGTAGTTTAGAAGGCTCTTTAACAATGCTAAATATGAAGTGTGTATTGTGACGTAATTCATGCGCTATGTTTTCATTTTCTTTTTATTTAAGACGTTGTTGTGTTTGTGTGTGCGTAAGCGCGCGCATCTGTATGAAAATGAGTGCTGTAAGAAGAGGTATAAGGGACGCGTGTGTGTAAATGTATGTCTGAATAGACAATGGAAAATCTAGTCTGCACTTAAGCTGCATTAGTCAGCACTGATTCCACTGAAAAACTATATGTGTCTGTGTGAGGCTGTCTCCTGTTGTCTCACATGCCTGGGGTCACTAAGAGTTGTGTGTCTTACTCTCCACTGAGAGATGTGCGTGTGTGTTAGTGTGGCCTGGTGAACCCTACGGTAACACTTTCTTTTACAGTCCTGTTACCCATGTACTTACTATGTACTTATTATAGTAACTATAATTACTGGGTAATAACTAGGTACTAACCCTGAACCTACCCCTAACCCATGTACTTACCTTATATTAGCCAGTACTTTCTAGTTAAGTACACTGTAAGTACACGTAAGTACTGTACTGTAAAAGGAAGCGTTACCAACCCTACATTATGGTACATATATACCTGGTACCTATACATATATGTGCCATGTTATGGCAATATTTAAAATCCTTGTCCTTGTGGGGACATTTTTTGGTCCTCATGAGGAAAAAAGATTATAAATCATACTAAGTGATGTTTTTTGAAAATGTAAAAATAAGTTTTCTGTGATGGGTAGGGTTAGTGTAAGGGGATATAATATACAGTTTGTACAGTGTAAAAAAAAATGTCTATGGAAAGTCCCCATAAAACATGCAAGCACAATGTGCGTGTGTTTATTTTTGTCTCTCAAAACATCATCTCTTATCTGTTGCAGGTGATGTAACCTAATCAAGTTAAAGCAATATGAATGGCCAACTAAATGATCATTGGCCCTCATTTATGAAACATAAGCAGAGTGAATTTCTGTTCATAAATATTTCCTAATATCTTAATATTTGTACAGTCCAATATACAGTTTCATGGCCAATAAGAAATATTTATGCCCCGTAAATGTTCTCAATTCCCGAATTTTTGGTTAGGATGGGAGAAAGTTCATCGTTATTCCTCTCTTAACATGTCCCTAGTTTGTCTGGGAAAATCGTCTTCTCCTGGCAGTGTAAATCAGCAACTTGGCTACGTAGCGTTTGTTGTTTGGAATTTGTTTGAAAACAAGAGGAAAGGTTGGAGCGCTGACGGGCAGTGAATCATCCACCCTGCTTCAGCGCTGAGTAATGGGTGTAGACGGAGTGAAAAAGGGAAATGTTCTGGACAGACCTGTTGACTTAGATGAGGCTTGGATGACTGAGCTGCAGGCTAGTGTGAATCACCTATGTATTTTGCTACTCCTTTCGTTTTATTCACTCTGTGCCCTCTGGAAATTCCCACAACATCTGAACACAGTCCTGCTGTGTTAGTGTTAAACTCTAGTTTTTGAGGGCACTGCTTTAAATGACTCAAAGGTTCTGTAGAGTGAGAGATACACACACCTAAGACGATTGAAATAGGCTTTACGCATTTTAGTTTCTCCATTTGTTCTTTCCCCCCCCCCCATCAATTCTTTTATTATTTTCTTTATTCGTTCATTCATTGTTTCCCTAATTGATTTGCTTTGTTCGTTGGTTTCATGCGCTCGTTATCTTCTTTGGTTCATTACTTCATTCCTTTGTTCATTCATCCGTTTGTTCATTCATTCATTGATACTTCATTTGTTTGTTCGCTCATTTATGATGTATACATTTTGTTCAGTCCATCCTTCATTAGTTTGTTCTGTCATTCATTTGTTTGGTAGTTTGATTGTTATTTGGTTTCTTTATTAATTTAGTGTTTCCTTAATTGGTTTGTTATTTAGACAATTAGTTCATTCATTTGCGTGTTCATTCACTCCCTAATTCAACTGTTTAGTTCATTTGTTCAGTGATTCCTCCATTTTAGTTTGTTGTTTCATTCGTTTAAACTTTTTTGTTCGTTCGTTCATTCATTCATCATTCATTGGTGCCTTCCTGTCTTATTTATTCATCCGTGTCTCTTTTTAGATAGCCTGCTGTATCATATTTGATTCACAAATTTCTAAAGCCTCTACATGATCAACATGATCAAAAGCTTGGCTGAAAAACCTGTTACATGCCTTTTGTCATCTGATGTATACTTTATACTTTTAGAGAGTGAAATGCCATTTAGTAGGTTATACAGGTCATGGTGTCTTTTTGCTGCGAAATCTTTACTGTTTTTATAAAGTAAACTCAAGAATACATTGTATGCTGTTATAACTTATTAATATTTCAAGATGAACACTTACTGGACTGAAGCAACTTATGTTTATTCATAGATATTTTTTTAAAGAAAAAAACATGTTAAAATGTATCAAATATGATATATCAGGCTTTTAGAGGAATATTTATTTGTACATCTCATTGTATTGCATTTGCAGTGTGTACATATTTTGACCCAATAAAAACAGATCTATGATCATAAAACGAAGCATTTAAATATCATCTTAGATGGTATTTTCGAGATATAGTAGGCTATATAGTTTTATAGAATTTATAGATATTCTTTTTGGCCATAAACATCAGCAACTGTACCAAATTGCTTTTTTTTTTTCTCAGTTTGGGCCTCTGAATAAATAGAGGTGTTTTTTTCTTACTCAAGTATGAGCTCCATATTCTCCTATATCATACTATATGAGCCATAAAATCCTGATGTATAAAATATGAAATTTAAATAAATATATATATATATATATATATATATTAGACTATTAGGCTTTCCAGGGTTGAATTTTGATTTAAAAAAAAAAAAAAAAAAAAAAAAATATATATATATATATATATATATATATATATATATAATATTATTATTATTGCAGTATGTGTTTTTATCTTTATTTTTCTCAGTAGCTCAGAGTCTGTGTTTGTTTAAGTGATATCATGGCGTGTATAATTGCCACCTGCAGTGCTTAGTAGGACTCTGTCAAGCTCATATGCTCCTTCACCATTGCTGAATGTATTGCAAAGATTTTCACATTATGATCATTGTGTGCAGATGTGTGAGATTCAAGATAATTTAGATCAGATCACATCATTGTGTTTGAGTGTGCGCCGGATGTGAGTTGCTAAAGGACACTGGTGTGATTTCCTCTGACAGTGTGTGTATGTGCTTTGACGTGTCCCGGGTGTGTAGCTGAAGGCCACGGCCTCTGCTCGCTGTGACATTGATACACTGCGCTGATGCTGCTCGGCTGGGCGGCAGTGGGTCTGAGACACAGGCACACATGAGAAATGACCTTCTATGAGCAAAGAAAATGGAGACGGGTGCAGGACTCAATCACTGGTGCAGAAATGATGCATGTTAACAGAACATCTCTACTGACACGCTCTGGCCCCTACAGCAGTTTAGGAACTCCCCAGAGTACACACACACACACACATACTGTATACTAGATAGTAGCTGTTTTCCTAGATAAATGTAATTTGCAAACAGTGATCATGCAGTGATGTCTTTCTATGCCCCCTTTCTCTCTCTTTCTCTCTCTCTCTCTCTCTCTCTCTCTCTCTCTCTCTCTCTCTCTCTCTCTCTCTCTCTCTCTCTCTCTCTCTCAGATTTGGAAAGAAAAAAGAAGAAAAGAACAAGACGGAGACAAAAATGAATGCACAGAAGCAGACGTCAGAAATTCTGAGTGAAGAAGAGTTGGAGAGGATGAAGGAAGAGAGAGAAAGGTAGGACTGATGTCATTACACCCTCACACCACATGAATCACTACTAAAAACCTTGTCTTGTATCCTAACTGAGATGGAACCTCATACTGTAAGTGAATGATTTGAAACACTCTACATTCGTAGCAACTCATACAAAAAGATCTCCTCATACAAACGCATAAGAGATTTTTTGTTTCTCTAAAAGCAGCCATCTCAGCAAACATTACATGATTCTTTTTTTAGTATTTGACTTAAAGAATCAATATTTTAAGGCATTGGTAATTATGCTACCTACCTTTAGGAACCGCCTTTGTGATTTGACCACGACTATGATGCCTGAATTGCTAGATGCTATGATGCCTAAATTGACAATCTGTGCAGATTGTCCTAGTGCAGTTTTATAGGGAGTCAGGCCTAGATCCCTTGAGCTACCTTACAGAAACAGTGGCAAGTAATGTCCTCTGGGAGAAAAAGAAATTCAGGAGGAGTCAAGGCTCAGAGGAGGACGACTTCTCATAAGAGACGCAAGAGCACATCATCTGAAACACATTGCACAATTGAAATAACATCTGAAAAAAAGAGCTGATTGACTTATATTCTTAACCAAAAACATCTGTTGAAAGTCATTCTGATATTATGTAATCTTTTAGTGATGAATTGTTGTGACAATGACGTCGTGATGCTTCTCAGCTTGCAGTTTATACAAGTATTAATACACTCAATAAATAGTACATTTGTTAATAATAATCACAATTAACAATTTGTTGAATAATATGGTTCATTAGCCTAACTGAAGACTGTTTGCAGTTGCCAAGAAATGTAATACATTAATGTACATCCTGATAAAATGTATAGCTTAAGTGCACTATCTGGATTGAAGCTGTTGGCAAATGCATGAATATGAGTAAATTAAAGTGATCAGTGTCCCAGGCTATCAATTCCCTACATAGTTTCTTAATAATATAATACTTTCTCAAACCAATCCAGTCATTATCACAAAACAAATCCCTTCAGAGTGATTCAAGACGCTTAAAATGTCTCGTTCATCCTGTCAGAGTTTATTTTGTGATAACGACCGGATGACTGTACATTATATAAAAATCTCACTGATGTAAAGATAGCAGTTATTAATGCTGAAGTTAGCAGAATAGCAGTTTGGTTTCAGTTTATGGCACGAGTTGATCAGTTAGTTACTGGCTGAAGAAGATTCAGATGTAATCTGGGAAGAAAGTTTTGTGCCACATGTAAAGAAAGGTATAGTTTGTTATTGTCATATGACACACTGTATGACGCACAGGTTTAGATCTCTTTATTTTTCGTCCCTTTCCATCTCATTCACTCTGACAGCTTTTTGTGGTCCATTATTGAGATGACACACAGCAATAGATTCCTCGTCCTCTCTCTATCTCTGTCTCTCGGTGTGTCATGTATATTCTGCCAAAAGACAGGAGAAAAGGATAAATTTAGCTGAGATGCAGGGATGTTTTTGCAGTCATTATTTTGTGTGGTGTTTGCCGAGGCTTATTTGGACTTGGAAACGTGTGAAGTGTGAGCTGGAGCCGTGCTGTTCTCCTCCATATGCTCCAGAGTGGCATTTGTTCAGAGAGAGACTTTATTGACTGAGCCTGTTGAAGCTCCTGAGAGAGACAGAAAAGGAAAAGAGGGAGAGGGAAAATCAGCTGGATGTGTCCGAAAGGTCTTTCTTGACCTTTCCAGTTGATTGTATTTTTGGAGCGGAACTTGAAAGTGTAAATACGATTCAAGTTCGAGTGCTTTCAGTTGCGCTCTCATTACCTGTGTGGTTTGCTCATTTGCGGAAATGAAATTTTAGATCACATTCCCCCTCTCAGACTAAAAAGATAGACAAACACCTCAAAATGATAATTGATCCAAGATAGGTTAACATCAGCTTTTCTATGTTAAAGAATTGAGGCTAAGCACCAGGAGTTGAGGGAACGGCAGGTTCGGGACCGGTTCTCCCCACCTGACGTGGAGGATGATGACCTGGACCCGAACTACGCCCGCATCAACAACTTCAGGGAGCGCGTATCACCTTCCCAGCCGCTATACGGGAACCGCAGCCCCTCCCCGCAGAGACCCCCGCCCCCAGTGTCCCACAGCAGAGAGCCATCCACAGAAGACCCTCTGGACGGCCTGTATGCCAAAGTCAACAAACAACGAAGCCCTCCACCAACTACTGCTGCAGACAGGTAAATATGCATATATACATACTTCCTTGCTGAAAAAAACCTGCTTAAGCCAGCCTAAGTGCATTCAGTGAGAGGATTTCCTCGGGATTGTGTTGATTGCTGAAGGATTCAAGTTTAAATTGTACAGTCTTTTATATTTTTCTCAGTCCTCATCTGTTTACCGAGTGTTTGTACTGCAGCTCTTAAAGAAAACAGTGTCTTTGTTCAGCTGAAGTCAGTTCAGTGTTGATTCAGTTTTGTTTTAAAGATCATCAATTATTACATTAGTTCATTTCATCTATAAAAGCAGTTCTGAAGAAGAAAAGTGTCTGTGTGTGTCTCTCGTTCGGCAGCAGCGTCTCTACTGTAAGTTTATCTGCTCCAAGAACAGCGCCGTTATTACCTCACTAGTGAGAAATGTCATGTAGCTTTTAAGTTGTTAAACTATTTTACTGATAAAATCGTCAGAGCAGCGTCTACAATACGTTTCGTTGCGAGTGTGTGTCCGTACTGTGTGTGTATGTGTTTGAGTGGGAGAGAGTGGGAGAAAAGAATATGTGCTTTCCGTACATAATAAAACGTAATTTTGTTGCAAAAAATATGGAAACAATTTGTTGTTTTTATCCTATTGTTTACTGTATTTATTTGCTCGGTCAGTGTCGCTGTGGGTTTTGGTTCTTTTGCTGGTATAGTCTGTAAGGACCTTTGAAAAAACTGAAATCATTTGGCGAAGTGATATGGAACTGTAATGCGGTCAAGACCTGCCTGGAACTACTTTAGCCGTGCGTTTCCCTGAAAATAATTGCACACCTTAGAACGTTCGTCAACCAATCAGATTCAAGCATTCAACAGCCCCGTAGTACAAGTAATAAATAACCACGTTGTAATGTCTATATCCAGTGAGTGAAATACACTTCTGTTCAATTGTTTGGTGTCAGCAAAATTTTGAAATATATTAATTTTACTAAGCAAGGATGCACTAAATTCAAAAAAGAGTGAAAAACTCAATGCTTGAAATTAATTTACTCATTCTGCGCATCAACAAAGAAAGATTACTTGCCAAGATACTAGCAATCTTCTTTTATTGTTATAAAAATAATATTACTTGTTTTTAACAATTCTAAATTGGATGCGTCAAGTTTGAATCTGTTGTATGATATCTGATAGACACACACCTGTGATGCCTGTCATTTGAATGCTATATTAGTACAGCAAGTTGCTCGGCAACCGTAAAGAACCCATAATGCCTAATAACACACTTTAATAACAAGTTCTTCCTCGCCTTGACTTGTAATTCTCATAACCTGAAGATGCAGCTGTAGCTGCTCTAATATTGATTCTCTCATTTCTGTTGCACACACAAGCTCAGTCTCCAGCTCTGACACAGCCATGCTGCACTTCTACTCTTTTGATTGAGCATCAAAAATATATCAATATATCTATGTTTCATTGGCCTCCACCTATGGTGAAGTAATGCATTAGCCTTGGAATTTAGATCAAGTTCCTTTTTTTAAATGAATCGCACTCTCTTATGCATGATGCAAAAGTAACTGGCATGTTCCTGTACATTGTGTATATCTGAATGTCTTGCTCCCATTGTCCCTGGGTCTATTTCTGAGTGGATATTTGAGTCACAAGGAGATTCGTTTAAAACAGGAATGTCTCTGTATGATGGGTCAGTTGTTGGTTAGATACAGTAGTTGGCTGAAGAAGATGTCATAAACTTGTTCATTTGAATGAAGGGAAGGATGTATGCCACATGGAGACAAAGGTGTAGTAGCTATTTGGGCTCGAATGACATTTATGTGATTAAAGTAACACCAGGGAACTTTTTGCTCTCGGGCTCCCCCTACAGTTGGGAAACAGTATTGTCCTCTACTACTGTCGTAAACTCTCATCCTACATGCACGTGCATTTGTTGACAACCGTGATAGCCCTGAATACTGTAGGAGGTCACATGCAGGTGTTCTGCTTGCGTCGCGTGTGAAATGTCTTCATCCCAGGTACAGTGGCATATATTTCAGCATGTCATATGAATATAATTTCATGGGTTTTATTTTTTTTTCTAACTACAAATGATCGCGATGATCACGTTTACAAGCCAGCGTCATTATAGTAGCCTAGTCTATTGGTTACCGTTTTACTGAATCTATATGATACTTCAATGCAATGTTTGAGTGGTAGATAATAACCATATATCGTCAATATTATACTATAATAAAACAAAGGCAGACAAAAAAACAAAGAGATAGTATGCAAGCAATATACTTACTTACTAGTCCAAAAGCATGACAGCCAAGTCTGCATCGGTCGGGCACCCCTCCTCCTCCTTCAGCTCACACCAGCGAGAAAACTCTGGCCCAATGTTGATCCTTGTTCTGCCTTTAACGCGATCTCTTTCTCTTTTTCTCTTTTTGCTTTGCTCCGATAAAACCTTTGCTTTCTTGTATTTCTGCGCTGCTTCGGCCATGACTATAACATTTGGCTCGCACGTCCGATTTTAAGGAAGTGGGGGTGGTGGTGGAAGTGACGTATATGCCGTAAAGCAGTCGAATTTTGTAGTTCTCTTTGTTCGCCGGTTACTACCCGAAACCCGAAGTTTAAAAGTACAATTGAAAACGCTACAGACCCCGTCAGGCTATGGCAGACGTGTCATTCAACCTATTGTAAGTCGATGTACCATCACAAGAGACTTGGAAATATATTATGAAGGTTGAAAAGTTACCTGGTGCTGCTTTAAAGGGGTCATATAATGCCATTTTTGTACAAGCTAATATGATTCTTTAGGGTCTAAATTAAAAGTTTGTAATATACTTTAATTAAAAATTCTCATTAGTATTGTAAGAAAACACTTATTTTACCTGGTCAAAAACAGCTCTGTTTTCAGCACGCCGTTTCAGTGCATATGACTTTAAATGATCATGAGCTTTGCTGACTCCGCCTCTCTGTTCTATGCGTACACGTTTGTAACACAATACCATAACGTGTTGTTCATTATAAACACGGGATTATGAATTATATGGAGAACGTCGTACATAGAAAACATGCAGTAATGTACCCTGAGTGTAAACCTTAGACTCATTCATCGTGAAGCGATTTGCAAAGATATAAATATTAATATAAAGTTTAATAAAACGTTACACTCACTTCAGTTGTTCTTCAGCAGGAACACGAATATCTGGTACCGATTCTTTATTCAGGAGCAGCTGCTTAGCAAAACCAGCTTTATACTGATCCTCGTTTATAAAGCAGTCTGGTGAGAAATGATTCGCGCAAACATGAGAGCATTGACGTTGGTCGTGGGGAATATTCCCTTCGAAAACAAACTCAACCACTGCGTCTTCAGCGGTTCGGATTTAGGAACATTAAAATGACTGCTGTGTTCGTTATTACACCCAAGAACAGAACACCACAATCGCTTAGACGCCATTCTGCTCATAGACAGTGCTCCAGCATATCAACAATGACCGCGCCGGTCCGCGCAGACTATGATTGACAGCTCGCTCACGAGCGAGGGCGGGTCTGTGTTGAAACGCGCCTATCAATCAACAATCGCGGGAGGGGCGTCCGACCGTGTGACGTCACACGGTCGAACGGCTCGATTTGAGGCAGGGGAAAACATAGAAGGAGATTAAAACAAAACCACTGGATGGATTTTTATCATTATATGATGGTTGTGTACAGGCACTGCCAACACACATTTCAGTACAATCAACTTAAAAAAGTGCATGTACCATTATATGACCCCTTTAAAGTCGAGTTGACGTTGACTAGTCGCTGATGACGTCATTAATGAACAAATAAGCCTGAACCTCGAGCTGAGACTTGAATGCGGGTTGTTCTGTGCAGTGCTATGGGATATGAAACAGCGCTCCTACATAACAGCTTATTTTTATCAGTTATTTTGTCTTTGGGTCATTGTATTCCTCACAGATGTCTGATTATTATAAATCAAATACAGATAATGTAGCACAGTAAAGATTACATTTATATGAATGCATTAGTGAGAGAGCATTTGCATGTGAATTAATTCTACCTGGCAGCATCTCTCTAGTAATAGTGAAGCTGTGGGATTTAGTTACTAAGAAATATATGCTTGAACTTTTCAGTTTCTAAGCTATTTTATTGATAAATCACACTGTTATATGGTAGGGGCGCTTTTACGCATCTACTGAAAGAGTACTGAATCTCCTGATCAAAACACATGCAAAGAAGATGCAAAAATGAGCGATGTCATATGTAATCATATGCATATATAAAATAACGTAATCATCAACATTAAACATCCTATAAATCAAAACTGCCTAATGTTATAGAATGAAATGTCGACCCAGGATAAGTTACAGGATTTTCTCAGCTTTTTGCTCAGAATGTTGCTTTGTTATGAAACTTACCCACATTCATGTGTAGTTTAAAAAAGAATACATGAAGCTATAATAAGACAATATTTTTTTTTTTTTATTTTTTTTTATTTTTTTAAAGCAGAGGGACTGTTCTTTTATATATATATATATATATATTGCATGTTCAGATATTCATACAACAAAATATTCTGGGGGCCATAAAAATGTTGTGAAAATGGTCAAAAACACTGGCGGTGGCTGGCAACTTTTTTTCTTTTTTTTTAAACGCTGGCGGGGTTTGAGATAAAAACTGCATTCACCTGATCAATTTTGAGCATCCAGATGGCATAATCAAACATATTTTGTGGAGTATGCATTCACTTGTCATTTTAACTATTGGAAAACGGAGCGTAAAAGTGGACTTCAAAGATTTACTATCCTGTTGCGCCCTCTATAGGCCATGATCAGCGGCTAGTCAACGTCAAGCTTAAAGCGTCATGGCAGAGCATTAAAGTCGACTAGTTAACTAGTCTGTGCAACCCCACATTGTCTGACTCTGTGGCCGGGTGTCTCCTACAGCCTCAGTTTTTGATAAATAATCTGGATTATTTCCCCACTGTTATCTTTTTGCACTCTGCCAGGCGGTGTGAGTTTGAATAGCGCTGCATATTCATTTCT